CTTGCATTGATTATTTGTAATTATTTCATTTTTATTGAAAACTAATTTTATTCATGATAACCAGCTAGAGAAACCAGGGGGACAGACTTTGAAAATCATTATTTAGCAGCTGAAACATATATGTCATGTTAAGACTTGTGAATCCTGAGGAGTCTTGATTGTAGATGGCAAACAATGACTTTCTGAAACAGAGTGGAAAGACAGATTTGACTCAAATATTTTCCCCAAGTGACTTTCCTAGGAGGTTTTGGAGACCCCCCCTAAAGCAGAAGTCACTTAATAACACCATGGGTGAACATTTTTTATTCATTATTTACCCTGAACACAGCATTGAACCACACTGCATTGTTTTCACATCTGGATGAGATACTATTTGGAAGGTGATGAAATTAGTAGCATTTTTCTGCATAAGATTAACATAAGTTCCATAATTACCATTGGGGTATTCTTTAAAAAAAAAAAAGATTTATTTACTTATTATGTGTATAGTGTTCCTCCTGCATGTATCCCTGCAGGCCAGGAGAGGGCACCAGATCTCATTACAGATTGTTGTGAGCCATCATATAACTGCTGGGAATTGAACTCAGGACCAATGGAAGAGCATCTAGTGCCCTTAACCTCTGATCCAATTCTCTCTACCCCCATTGGGGTATTTTTGAGGGCAATAGAATATCTTTAGAAAGAAGGGTTTAAGAAGTAACCAAAATATTGTTCTGATTTTTCCATTCTTAGTCTGGTGGTTTGTACATTTTACTTGAAATCCAATTTATGGCTTCCACTCTCACACATTCAACAATATAATATAAAGAGAGCATGTGGAAAGATGGTAAAAGAAGGAAACATGTCAACATTTAGTAAGCATGGCAGGAAAGGTTTTGAGCATTTATGCATGTACATACCTAGAAACAAATGGGATGCTAGAGTTGTATTTTAAAAGACTAGGTTACTTTGCACATGACAACTTAAGACACAAATATACAAAAACTACCTTTCTGTCTATAAAACCTCCAGTTACGCTTGTGAATGACAACCCCAGTGAGTTATTATACATTCTGGTTTGACTTTTCTGTCTCTTGTATTTTATGTTTAGATTGTCAGAATGGTGAAAAACTTAAAAGGCAGCCCTATAACACTGTCAATAGGTGATGGTGCCAATGATGTCAGTATGATTTTGGAATCCCATGTGGGAATAGGTAAGAAACATTTAATATGATGGCCTCTATAAGGTATCATCATTATTACTTTCTATGTTGAATCAATCTTACTCTAGATTGTTTTGATCACTCATCTGGAATTTGAACTTGTGAATAATTGTTAATTAACGAATGATTTCTTCTATTATTGACCATTCCAAGGTCTTATGCACAGTAGTTGGAGGGTACTTATATTTGCCAAACAAAGTGGACTCTTTTTCTTTTTCTTTTTTTTTTCACAGTTTCTCTTTGTAGCCCTGGCTATCCTGGAACTCACTCTGTAAACCAAGCTGGCCTCAAAACTCATAGAAATCCACCTGCCTCCACCTCCAGATTGCTGGTCTTAAAGGCATGCACCACCACCACCAGACTACAAAATGGATTTTTCAAACCTTCCTGTGTCACAATTAATTGAGTAGCTCTTATTTTTGACAGCATGCATGATACTTTGAGTTTTTATACCTCTGGGCAAATTGTCTACTCTATTAGTGTTCTCTCTGTCTTTTGAGATTGTTAACTGTTAGAGGTTAAGAAACTATCACTGGCTGTCTCATTTTCCACACAATGGTATTTATGGGTTCAATGGGCTATGGTGTTAAAGTCTTGTGTTGACAAACACAAACAGTTTTCTAGCACCTACACGACGTTTTTCACACATTCGATTGTTATTAAGCACCTAACCTAACACAGAAGAAACATTGGACAATGGATTGGGAACACATGCAGAATTGATATCTTGGAAATTATTAAAGTGAAGTTTAGATTCCCAAATTCCTTCTCCCATTCAGAAATAGAATGATTTACCATGGAATTCTTAAGTTTTGCTCATTGATTATCTGATGTGAAAATGGCCCATGGCTCATAAAATCCATGAGTAGCTATTCATTTTCATAGAGTGAAAGATTTCACTGTCTTCTCTTTGATTTCCTTGACCACAAAACCCAGACTTCTGAGTTGCCTTAATATAACATCTAGTTTAGTGTTGTGCACTATTAAGCAATACTGAATGCCTTGAATAATTTTCAAGTGTTTTTTCACCTTCAGATAATTTTTGCTTTGTAATGGTTGAAATAATGGTCTACTTCATTGTTTTATATTGTACTAACAAAAAACTAATCATCATTTATTTGGTGAATCTCAGTATCACTGTTAAAGCCACTTTTTATTTTAAAAGAAGTAAATCTAAGCTATACACTTGATTTCTAACATTTAAACAGCTTAGAAATATAAAAATAGATGAGGCGTTTGCTCATTCTATAAAGTTATCACCATACAGAGATATTCTCTCTTTAGGTATTAAAGGAAAAGAAGGTCGCCAAGCAGCCAGGAATAGTGATTATTCTGTTCCAAAATTTAAACATTTAAAGAAATTGCTATTGGCTCATGGACATCTGTATTATGTGAGAATAGCTCATCTTGTACAATATTTCTTCTATAAGGTATGTGATCAAATGTTTATAATTTAGCTGGTTTGCAGTGCCTAGATTTGAATCAATTTGGTTTTGTTTGTTTTTCAAGACAGGGTTTCTATGTGAACAGTCTAGCTGTTCTTGAACTCACTATATAGACCAGCTGGTCTCAAACTCTCAGAGATCTTCCTGCCTCTGCCTCCTAAGTTCTGGGAGTAAAAGAATCAATCTTGTTATGTAACTGGGGCTAACACACACTCCTGGCTCAGCCTCCAAGGTGTTGGAATTACAGGTGTGTACCACTGTGCTGAGCTCTGTGGTTTAATTTCTGTGAATCAAAACCAAGGCACTTACTGGGGATATTAAAATTTTGAGATTAATTTTGAAGTCAACATTATTAAAGTATAAGTTAAATATAATGTTTTATGCATTAAGAATATATAGATCCAGGCCAAAGAGATGCTTTATTTAGCTAACGGTTTACGGATGTTTCTTATCCTTTCAGAGAATCAAGTGCTTGTTTTATTTGTTCTATTTTTTAATTTATGTATGGATATTTTCATTTCATTTTTTTCCTTCTATTATTTTTGAGATTGTAATATGATTACATCATTTCTCCCTTTCCTCCAAACCCTCTCATGTACCCCTCCTTGCTCTTTCAAATTCATGGCCCCTTTTTTCATTAATTGCTATTACCTGCATATATTTCATTAATTACTGGTACATGCATATAAATATATTTTTTTTCCTGAATATAACCTGCTCGGTCTCAATAATGTTGGTTATATTTATGTTTTCAGGGTTGGCCATTTGGTATCAGATAACCAATTGGTGTGTTCTTCCCTGGGGAACACTATTTCTCCTGCTCTTGGCATTCCATAGTTGCCTGTAGTTCCTTGTGTAGGATTGATGCTTCATGGTCTTTTCTCCATCCACTTTGGAATGTCTATTGTTGTCCTTGTATAGGTGGTCATGTAGGTGTGGTGATATGCGTGTAGCTTCTGATATTACTAGTAGACATAATCTTACATTGAATTCCCTCATCCTCTGGCTCTTACAGTTTCTTCCCCTTCTTCCTAGATGTTCCCTGTGCCTTAGGTGTGGGACTTGTTTTATAGATGTGTCTATTAGGACTGAACTCCATAACTCTGCATTAGATTGTTTGTGTAATATTATCTCTCCATTTCTAAAACAGTTTTCTTTGATGAGAAGTGAAGTGAGGAATTACACTTCATCAGTGGGTATAAGGGCAAATTTTTAGAACGTAGTCAGAATACTGCTTTAGTAAAGTGGCGACTGGATGTTCTCCTCCAAGACCCATGACTTCACTAGCCCTGAGTAGTTAGCTAACTTGCCAGTACCAGACATCATTTCCCTCTTGTTGAATTCGTCTTAAGGCCAGTTAGAGAGCTGTTGGTTACTACCAAGGTATGTGGGCCACTATTGTACCCTTATGGTTCTTGATATAGTTCATAAGCATCATAACTGGCTAGGACTATAGATTGCCTCCCTCCTTTGGAAGCTTGCATGGTACCTTCTGAATGCTGTTTCTCAGGGAAGAGGCATTCAGGTCAGTTCCAATTCAGGGGCTTTTCCATCTCTTGGGGGCAACAGTAATAAACTATGTTTCTGAACAATGTTGATGAACAACTCAAAAGAGGGCTTCTCATGCCTATTGGGGTTTTTGTTAGGTCGTCTTGGGCTCTTGGAGGGAGCCCAAATGAGAAAATGTCATTTAAACTGTATATGTATATTTAAACACAGACTTACTTGTTTTTAGGTATATAGTTAGCAGTATGATTCCTTATAAGTTTTTCAAACATCCTTACTATACCTTCACCTTTCTCCCTTTTTTTCCTTTATTTTTCTCCCCCTCCCTCCAAGTTAGAGCCCCCATTTTTCCCCAATCAGATCACTTGTACTTATATTCCCCTCTCTAT